AGAGCCTTGAATGAGCTCTGTGTATTTACTCGTCGCACAGGCAGGTCCCTGCGTGCCGTGCCTGCCCCATCTGCTCTTGTGGCGATGGCACATGACTGACAGGCACACAAAATACCCCAGTCTCTGCCTCAGTTGTCACCTGCCACAGGGGCAGCTGGGATTAGAGCTCTGCTGCAGCTCAAGGCTAGTCGGGCTTCCATCCGCTCCCTGGTTTGCCCTGCTCAGGCACACGTTTTTGCAGCTGTGCAGTGTCAGGGAATGCTTTTACCCCTCCAGAGCCAGGTTCCTACTATCCTGCCACTGCTGGGATCTTTGAGGTTCCCAGGTGAAGGGCCTGGGTGGGACATGGCTTTGTGTCCAGAACCATGGTACCAAGCTGTACCTACACAAGTGTGCAGTGCAGTACTCGAATGGCAGGAAGCATTGTGCATCAGATAATCACTGCTCAGACATGCTAGAAAGTTTTCTAGTGACCCAAGTAGAAAAGTTTCTAGTATTGAACCAAGCATAGAAGCATAAATATGATAATTTACCCATAAGATGCATGAACTGGAAAATTTGCATGTCAGCCAAATCTTGTCTGGCATCAACTTGAGGTACTGCATCAGCAAATTGCGAAATGAGGTTTTTTTCCTCTAAAATTCAGTTTACTTTGAAAAAATAAGCACCATACATCTGGCCACAATTATACTATTAACAGAGCAACAAAACAGATTGGGACGTTTTGTTTTAGTTCTTTAGGCTCAGAAATTATCACTGCTTTAGGTGCCCCACCTTTTTTTTTTTTTTTTTTTTAAACCTTTGGGGCTCCTAATGCCATGTATCAATGCATATCAAAATGGCATTGCAGTGTTACACTGGACAGGGATCAGTCTAGAAGCAGTTTACTATACTATGATTTATGGCCCCACTTCAATGCAATCACTTTAAGTACTTCAATGAACTGGGGCTGAGTTCAGTTTCAAGTCCTCATCCTACAGATGTCTCCAAACTTTTCCTATTGATAGATTTGCCATGAGAAAGGGGACACCTTGGAGCCAAACATGTAGCACAAGTGAAAAAACACAGACCTGAGCAACACAGAGTTTAAAAGTACTACATCAGCAGTTAAGCACCTGTAAGGCAGATAAAAACAGGCAGGGATGGCATAAGAAATATCCCTTTCCAGTCCTGTGATGCACCCTCATCTTTTTCTCATGCTTAAATGGAAGCTTTGTCACTTGTCAAGAATCCAAAGCATTCTTGTGTGCTGCAGACAGTTGCACTGAACCATTTCCACCAGAGTTTCAAGCTGCTTTCAGGATTGCAGCAAAACTGTAGACTGCAAACTCTGCTTGCTTGTCCATGTGGAAAATGCAGCAGCAGCAGCTTCTTGGGTCTGAAGGGGTGCAGGGAGACACAGGCAGCCCTGAGATGTCTTAACACGTGTGTTGGGAGGTTGGCTTGTGATATTCCATGGCCCAACAGCCAGTGGATGACTGTGAAAGAGTTGTCCCCTCATGAATGTAGGATTCAGTACTGCCTGACACATGGAGTGTAGAAGGTGCATCTCTACACCAGCTTCTCCTCTAATTTATGCACATTGTAAAAGCCTGTCCTCCCCAACATCTGAGAAGGCAGTGGCCCCATATTCCACTGAGGACAAAAGCCCTAGAGCACCAGCCTGTTCCTGTGACAGTAGACAGATTCAAGGAATTCTGTCTGTCCTTTTTTTTTTTTTTTTTTTGATAGAACACTATTTTTTTGTATCAGTCATCATTAGAAATTTATGCTGCTGATTTTGGTTTGTTATAGGTTCAACTATAGTATGGATTTGGCCATATTTGTTGTTCTGGGCACAAATTTTCTGGAGGACTCCAAATGAGGGGGTACAAGAGAAAGAACTGCAGATGTTACTATACATCTTTTACTATGTGAAGTCCCGAGGGTCATTTGAAAATCTTGAATTAAGGTCTTTGTGTTTTCTGTGCCAAGCCTCACTTAAATTTGCCAGCACAACCCTCTGCTCTCTGGATCACTCTAGCACTAAAGACTAAAGATGTTAAACCAGTGTCAGAGTGATTTGCAGCAGCATCTGCGTTATACAGCAGACTTGAAGGGAATTCTACAAAATTGGAAATTAGATTTGCTGTAGAAACTGTGATGAATATTGCCATGCACCAGGCAGTGGGTAGAGTCCAGTTGCTGTTTCTGGCACCTGGCAAAAGAAGAGATACCCTTTGGCCTATGGGCTGGGCAGGTTCTTGCTTTGAATATATAGGCATAAAAACCCAATTTGTGGTAAAAAGGAAAAAATTAAAAAACCCCAACCAAACAGGAAATATCTTAAGAAACTGTTACAAAACAACTACCAGAAAAACATCTTGCCTGTATTTAAACAGGGAGAAGAGGCCAAACACTAGCCTGGCAGAGGAAGATATCAGGCCTGCAGGAAGCAGTGGGAGGCTTAGCAAACTTAAATGACCAGTGGGCTGGAGACAACACTGAGCTGAGGGAATGCCTCCAGCCCACCTGGGAAAAGGGACTTCCAGAGAGCAGCACATGTTTCCCTGTAAAGGGCACCACGAGCTGATTTCAGGACAGGGGACAGAATGGAATGTGGCTTGTATGGTTTGCTCCTGCATTTGAGCACATCAGAAGAGAGCCTTCTGAATCAGTCCCCTTCTCACTGATTGCCCACAAGTCGGGGCTGCAATAAGATATTTTGCCACCCAAGATACCTGTTAGGTATTTCCCATCATCTTCCTCCTCTTTTGCTAGGCTCCTGCCAGCTGCATCCACCTACTGGGATCAGCCAGTATGCCAAGAGCAGCTGATGGGTTTGAGCACATATGCTCTCCCCAGCAGTCCTTGCTTGAACTGGCCCCCAGCAGAGGGTGGGATGCAGAACTGAGAAGTTCCACATTACCAAAAAATAAGACGCTTCCATTCTGTGTAACTAACCTTATGCCAAACTGGAGGGATGAAGGGAGATGTGTATGCAAAGCACAGGTGAGTCTGCGAGCCTCTGCATGACACTCTCCCTCCCACCACAACACATGCACAAACTATTCCCAGATTGCAAATATAGCTTATTAACCGTACTCACTATTTGTTTAGCATAAGTAAAGAGTTAGGTGTTTGAACAGGTTGTTTGGCAGAATTCAGGGAGTTGAGTTCAGGTCATAAACCCATAAATTCCTATGCTCCTCTCTCCCACTTAGCTAAAATCCATCTCCCCCCCCCCCCCCCCGCAAAAGAAATCACCGTGCCCAGAAAAAGCTTTGGTTTTGCTATTCTGAACAACTTAGTACCTGCCTTTCTCAGAGCTCAGCTAACCCATTCCCAGGTGTGTATTTGCTGAGAAAAAACACAGGATGCTGGGGACTAGTTTTGATAGCTCCTATTAAAAAGTTTTGCTGTGTGGGAAAGAACCCAACACCCACTGAGCCAGGAGATGAGTGCAAGAGGGATCCTCACTCTGCATCCCTTTGGGAGCCCAAGCCTCCTTCTCTGCTGAGCTGCCCTTCTCCGTGGGAAGTGCCTAACCACTTCCCCTTTAGGCAGTCTGGGGGATCTCATTTACATCTGCAAGGTGCAGCAGTCTTGTGAGGAGACTCAAAGTGCCTCCCCAGCTTGTGGATCTGGACTCCTTTCTGGATGCTGGGTGTCAGGGAACTAGATATAGCTACACCAAGTCCCTTGTCTTACTTCAGATGGGGTTTAAAACTCTTTGTACCTGGTGCTGAGTACACCCTGGTGGCATTTCCGCTGTGTTTTTTGTAGTATAATAGTAAAAATAAAGTCTAAGTATTCCCTTGACCATCTTTTCCTAAATCTGATATGTAGGGCCCTTCACCTGTTTCTTGGCATTGTCAACTTCTCCTGCTCTCTCTCCCTATTAAAACCCTTCTCCCCCTTGCAGTGGTTTGTGATGAGAGTTTGAAGGGGCTTTTCTCATTTTGGAATGTATCCTGCTGGATAGGCCCTTCTCCTATCCCAAAATAGTCTTAAATCAGGCATCCAACTCCATCAGGTGAATTTGTACATGACAAATATCATAGAGCCAAGCTCAGACACTGGCTAGGTCTGGAGCAGACTAAATCTGTCCAGAGCACTGTGGTGCAAGGGGAGCCCAGGTACAGTTCTGTCCACCTTTTATCAGACCCTTGTTCTGTGCTCATCTGGTCTATAATGTGCTTGTGTGGCACGGCAGCAGTGCTGTGTGCCCACCTGATGGCTTTGAGACTGCAGAGCAGCAACTCAAAGCAATGAGGGATCATGAGGAACACTTTGGCTAAAGTCATCCAAACTCCCAGAGCACAGACCAGTGCCACTGAATTTCATGTGTGGAATTCATTCAAAAATTGATCCGCTGTGTTCAAATCCAGAAAAAAAACAGGAGAAAAATCTATCTAATAATACTAAGGCCAGAAGGATGTAGCTCAGTCCAAGGTGAAACCTGGAGGAAGGAAGTACAGTAGCAGTGGAATATGAGAAGGGATTTTAAATTATTGCAAACAAAGATACCTTTTGTGACCGTGGCCCTTCCTTCTGCTATATCAGCACTTTGTCGGTAACAGCTTGGAAGTCTGAAATCAGTTTCTAAACCCTTGACCTCTTAGTGTGAAAAAGCAGCAGCAGGCGGAGGTGGATTTGCTGTGGATAAAGCTCTTTTCCACAAATTGTTTATCATTTAATATCAATCCAGGGGTAAAGATAGCCATAAATCTATGTGAAGCATCTATATACTGTGTCCCTTCTAATACTGAACGGGATGTGTGCCAGGCAAGTGGACTGTGGGGTGGCTGGGCTCTTATTCTGTGAAGAGTTCTGCCAGAAAATTAGAAAAATTGCATTTAGGCAAAAATCAGATTATTCAAGTAGGTATGATTACATTTGTGTTTATCATTAAGGTTCCTACTTAAATGTAAAATGCGTCATTAGCTTTTTCAATTTAGGTTATCTTTTAAAAGTTGATACAAAAAAGGAAAAGAAAATATTAAACATTTTGATAAATGTGATTTCTCTTATCTTTATTCCTACATTTCCCTCTTTGTCTGAGGTGTCCTATTTGAAAATACAGTTAGTATAGACTTTATTTTTTAATTTGGAAGGAAAGAGACAGGATTGAGGACTGGAAAGTTCAACATCATCAAGAGATCATGTCTTTTTTATTTTGCAGTGTTGCATTACTACTTGCTTAAGAGTGCTTACCCTGGTCCATGAGGTGTTCTAAAATGTAAATCCCAAGGCAGGCCTATGGCTCATTTTTCCTTATGGGCTGCCTACAGAAAGTGTTGTGGGGATGCAAACCCCCAGATGATCAGGTCTGATCCTCTTGTTTCTTGGAGAAACCGTCCCCTGTTTCTTGGAGATCAATAGCTAACTGCACAATGTCCACCTCTAGCCTTCAAAGGCTGTTGCCTCTCTTAGCATACCTGTCTAGCCCTGTTTCTGGTAGTTTTTCTAGCAATATCCACTACTCCACGGTTCTAGGCCCTGTACCAAGGAGGCCTGGATAACTGGTTTGGTTTGTGGCTGTATGCCTGTGCTTGATGGAAAGTTATGTGCCAGAGACAGGAAATTTTCAGTTCTGGTGAGGCAATGTTGTGCTTGTGGCATTGTAATGGGGATGTATTGATGCTCTGCTTTCCTGAAGGGAATTAGAGCCTCAGAAGAATGAGAATGAACATTTTTGAATGTCAGCAGTTGACAGCTGACCATAGCAAGAGCTCCAGGAGCCACCTTCATCACACAGAAGCAAAAAGTTCAGCAGCAGTCTCCAGCCTCCCAAAGCTCTATGACAGTGACCACTCTGGGTTTGGTGGGAAGTAATCTGTGTCTCAGGTGTTTCTTGAAGCTTGGTCTTGCCTTCCCCAGACATTTTTTCTTTTTGGTTTGTTTGTTTTCTTCATGTATTTTTTCCCTAGAATATTTTATTGCATTACCAGGGAAATCTAAGCAAAGTGGGTCTCAGTGATCTTCTGTGCCGAGGCAGGGTCATTACAGCCTCTGATGACTTTGGTGCTGGGTGGAGTGATGCCTTGGAAGCATAGATGTAGTCTCTTAACACTTGTACCAATGCATTTATCTGCCCCTATGGAGTATGCTGAGGCAAAAACTTGCTCTTACATTGCCCTGTTCCTGAAATGCTGCCCTAAATTGTGGAGAAGCACAGGTTGGTCTTCTGAGGAGAGTTCATGGCTTCCTCCTACTGCTGCTTCCCACCTTGTGTGACAAAAATCCTTCAACTCTTCCCTCACACCGCAGCAGCATTCACCTGCAACTGTGACCAGTGCTGCATTGTTGTAATGGCATTCACCAGCCCACCCTGTGTAACAAATAGGCACCTTTGCCAAATAAGCCACGAGACTTGTGATCTGCCTAGGGCTGTGTATGCCTAGCTTCCCAGGGAGCCTGCAGGGTTTTGTCTCACTAATTTCTCCAAGCAGCAGCAGACGTCCTTCAATCTTAGATTGCCCCAGCTGTTGCTCTTTCTTATCCCAGACTCACCTCTTCCCTCCAGGGCTTCACATGACCCCAAACATCAGGAACATCTGGCATACCCATGTTAGCAAGAGAGGACAGTCCTGGGCTCTCCAGGCCGAGTGTGTTCCTGACTCCTTGCTGCTTAGGAAGCGTGGGGCTGGGCTGCTGAATGGCTTGTTGTCTGCTGTCTGCAATGCAAGCAGCATCTCCCCCTCCCCACACCCAGACAGACCCAGATGCCAGGGTCGGCAAGTGAGGGCACCACGAGGGGACCTGCCAGCTCTGCCACTGCAGCTGCTCCCTCTGTTGCTGGCAGCTGGGCTTGAATATTCATGGCAACAAAAGATTAGCACTGTGTATGCTTGGCACTGGAGACAGATAAACTTTCTTGAGGTGCCGGTGGCTGTGTTCTCATCCCATTCAAAGAGCTTGCTCCCTCTCCCCTGCTCCACTTGTCTGCTTCATCGACCAGCTGATTCTCTTGCTGTATAAATGGCCTCTGTTGGGAAAGGGAGGCGAGCAGCTTGATTAAGTATTCAGCAAAGTGGTTCAGAGTCCAGACAAACTAGCGTGGATCTTGCCAACACTTGCACTCAACTGGCACTGAGGAAAGCCGGGGAAAAAGCTCATTTATAAATAGGCAAAATTTTGCAAGGTATCAGCTTGTACTTATCAGCTGCAATCCCCCGATCAAGTAGTTTAGACTTTTCAGACTATCATTACCTCTGACTTCTGCTGAGGTTTAGGGGTTGGAGTATCTAAAGAACATTCAAGGGAACTTAGAATTTGCAGTGACTTAGAAACTTTTCAGTTTTACACCATGACTGATAGGTTCAAAATGCAGTCTGCCACTTCTTCTTCCCTTCTCTGAAGTGGTCTGGAAATGAAAAAAAAAAAAAAAAAAAAAGGAAAAATGAAAATATCAAATTGATGATTGTTATTAAATTATTGATGTTGGCCAGAAGTGGAAGAGGAGAACTTCATTACTCTCCCCATTTTGTCACCAAGTTATTGTTTGTGAGAGGAGTCTGGAGTCATGAAGCTGAGAACACAGGGCAGTTGGCAGCTTTGAAAACTGTCTCAAATGAAAGGATGACCAACCTGGGCAGACAGAAAATGGGAGCTGGAAGTGTGATATGAGTGCTCTTGTGACCATCTAGGTGATGCCCTTACTTACCCTATATTTGAACCACCCTTTCTTCCTTTCTGGGTATATTCTTTGGCAGTTTTCAGTCCTCCATGGGCTGGCATGTTTAGCCCAGAGCAGATTAGTTGTTGATGTTTGGAAGGGAAACCTGAAGAGGTTACAGACAAACAGTGTCTGGAGTTTGAAGAAGAATTGATTTCAGATGACCAATCAAACCATTAGCATGATAATGCTAGTTCTCCAAAAGCATTCAGAAGTTACAGAATCCCAGAATGAGTCAGAAGGGACCCAGAAGGATCAAGTGCAATCTGTAAGTGGATGGCCCATACAGGGATCAAACCCACGTATGCAGAAGTGGTTTGGCTATCAGGCTGCCTTGCTCTTTCACCTGGTGCATCTTCCTTCTCCCTTCCAGTGAGGCTGGTGGTTTGCTTTGGTGCTTCCGTGCTGTGGTTGTGGTGCTGCAGCTCTCCCTTGGGAAGCATGTTGCTCCCATCACATTTTGTGCTGAGTGTCAGAGTATCCAACTCAGGCTGATCTGCCTCCCCCCAGTACTTTATATAAAATGTCACATTTTAATATAAAGTCACACTGCAATAATTATTCTGACCCCCAGATGAATGCTTTGTCAGAGTCAGCTTTTGGTAAACAGAGCAAACCTATCCCCACAAATTTAAGAGGCAGTATCTTTCCAGTCAGTGAAGAGAGAGCAAATCATCTGAGCTGCTCCAGCTTTCTGCTTTAGCCTGAGGTGAACAGTACCTTAGAAGTGCCTGATCTTTTCAGGTGTTAGAAGGGAGTCTAGTCAATGAGATCAAATATGGACATCTGTGCCCTAGATGGGTACAGCAGCTAAACTGATATCCCCCTCAGCCAGGGCCAGTAACACCCCAGAGATCACCAGCAACTCCAAAACTGTCTGGGGCCAGAGGGGTGAAGCATGCTCATGCTCTGAAGAGCTGCTCAGCACCACATAATATAGAGTTATGCTGACAGTGGAGAGAGAGTTTTCTATCTCTTCCCCAGGGCACCGTATAATGAGGCTTTGGGGACCCAGCAGTAAATGAATGTCACAAAAGGCTACCTGATGGCGTCTGCTCAAAGTAGCCAAATAATTATCTTGCTTTGGCAAACCACACAGGTCTTCAACTCAGGATAATATTAATAGTTTGTTTGCTGCTGTGTGGGAAACAGTAATAACTTTGAATTTTCAATAATTTGCTATGAAATTAACTTCTGATGCCAAAAGAAAGGCTGCTGCATTGATAACGGTTCTCCAAGGGTGACAGTGGGGGAAGAAAAGAGCTTAGGGGCATAGCCACCTGCTCCTTCTTCATCTGACACTGCCATAGTCACAGTCTGCCCAGATTTGGCTTGACAGGTCTCTGGTGAGGACAATTGGAACAACCTCATTAGAAAAGAAGAGTAAACTGTTCAGAAATCAAAGGTAAAATTTGTGTCTGCCAGTTTCATGGGGCTATTTGGAAACAGGATCCTTGCAGTGCATGAAGTCATGCTGTAAGATCAGTGCTGTAGAAAAGTCCACAAATGTTTTTTCTATGAGGAAAAATAGTCAACATTCTCAGGTGGACAAGTCTGTTCAAAGCTAATGTTTTCCTCTCATGCCCTCATGAATTAATTCCTGGTAATGAAGATCACCCCTTGGCTTGTTAAGTGGGAGGCCAGACCACACTTCTCAGCTACATATTGCTCTCTTGTTTTAAGAATTCACTTGAGGAGATACCATATGACATTGTGCTCATTTGTTCCAAGCACCAGAAGGACTTTTCTCACCACTTCCATATTCTTTTTTTTTCTCTCAAGCCCCCAGTTAGGATCTCACGAGTTTCCTTCAGCAGATGATTTCTTTCTCCTTTCACTGATTTTAACAGAGTTCTCCATTCTCTGCACATACAAAGTGTTTGCCACCCTAAGCATTATCCGGAGCCTTCCCTGGTCCCATATCATCACACACTGCAGCACTGGCCAGTGTTACATTCCAAGTCCTGGAAATAATGCTCACCTTCTCATCCATCCTGTGTGTCATGAGCTGCTCTGACTCCTTTATTCCCCTCACAAAGAGAAAGGAAAGTTACCATCAGCAAACCAATTTTTATTGAATCCAGATACATGAGCAATCTGGAATTTACACTTTTTCATGCCAACAGAGAGCAAACTGCCACTTCTTTGCTTCCAACATCTCTTGAACTGTCCATCCCTGGAGTCATGTATTGGTGTCTGTAGATGACACTGCCTCTGCAGACACCAAAGCCATGAGCATGTTCACTGCAGCATCTCAGGAGATAAACTGTCATCTGGCTGTGCACCACAACATTTTCTCTGACAGTTTCCTAAGAACAGAAATAAGAAAACACCTTCTCCATGGCAGCACTGGGACACTGTAGCTCTTCCCCAGAGAGCAGCCTCAGGGCAACCTTATCTCATTCCTGGACAGAGTCACAACAACAAGTGTGTGATTCATGCAGAGAGCAAAGACAGCTCATCCTGGCTCCTCTTGTATGAAGAACTGATCCAGGATATTAGGCCTTCTCCTGCTGTTCTCATTTCAAGTAATAGCAGAGAAATCCTTTCCTAATATAGACTGAATGTCTGGGAAGGTCCATAATTATTCATTAACATAAGAGGTGTCTAAGTTGCCGGTACAACCCTTCCTCCTAATGTGTGAAATATATCTGATGGCCTCAGAGAAATGGGCACAGGGCAGAGCTGAGATTCAGGATCCCTGCTCTGAATTCTGCTCTGGCAGGGACCTCCTGAGAGCTAACCCTGCTGTTGGTCACTTTGGTGCCATTAACAAACCTGAAGCTCCAGGATATCAATGCTCAATAGCTATTGCAGTAAGTGGGACACTCTGAGGGCCCAGTCCTAGGTATCCTTAGAGATGCTACCTACTTCTCAATAAATTTAGCATCTGGAGTTTGACCCAGGGAGCATGTGTTGTTGACTTGTTGTAAGCAAGCTCAAGTTAACTTTTCCTGGATAAAAGTTGTTCTGGCAGCTACAACCACTGTTCTCATCCCAGTGCTGGCAGTTGCCTGGGATGCCACTGGAGAAGTAACATCATTGCCTTGCAACAGAAGGATACTTGTACCTCTGAACAGATATAAACAGCCATCTTTATCTGGTGCCAGAGTAGAATTTGGTAAGAAAGGATTATTGATACAACCATATTTTTAAAGCTTCACTTTCATACAGCTTCTATGCAGAGATGCACAAGTGCAGAGGTAAGGAGACATTTAAAATGAAGGAAGATCTCAGAAATGAAGCCTTTTTTTTACATTAACTTTGAATGCTGACAGACTTCCAGTGGACCTGAGAAATACAGCGATGCCCTTGCTGTTGAGAAGAACTACAAGAAAATGAAGCTCTTATTTCCTGAGCAAAAGTGTGATGCAGAGGCCCAGAGATGAGAGCTGTGGTAGAAAACTGAAAGACGAAACAGACCAAAGAAAGGCAGAGAGACCCACTTGCCAGATCCCTAGGCATCTCTCTGGGGCATTTTAAAAACTTTTTAAAGGACTTTTAAATAAGGCAACCTGGAAATGTTAGTTTTTCAGAAACTGTAGAGGCAGAGAATTATTTGGAGCCTGCAAACTAAACAAATCTACTCAATGACTTTTCTGACAAAGTGTCCCACCACAGTCAGCACCAAGAGACTGCTTAGTCCATAGAAATGGCCTGGTTTGTAAAAACACAAACAAACACAAAATCTCCTTGCAGTCTGCATGAAGATTGCAGAGATAAGGCTCTCCCAGAGTACAACAGGAAGCTCTGAGCTGGCAGCAGACCTTCTCCTATAAGGAATCTTGGAAGAGCTTTAAAGAGGCAGAGTGTTGGGACACAGGAGGGGAAATGAGTAACAAACAGGAACCCTGCACAAAAACAGCTGCCTTCTGTGGGCTGTGACGCTGTTTTTTCTCATGCAGCATGGGGAAGCAAGGACGCTTCATTCTTAAACTTTCACCTTTGACAACAGCAGGCTAAGCATCGGTGTTATGTAGCAAGCCATTGCATTTCACAGCAGTTCTCTCCTTACATGTCCTTTCTTTTCCATGAAGCAATTACTATCTGTGAATTGATCTTACTGGGAAAGAGATGATGGTTTTCCTACTAAATATTCATACACACATGTTTGCAGATTATGGGATTGTGTTTTCTTTGGGGTAAGCACAGAACTTTCCTGGTGACACTGCCAGGCACAAGTGCCTATGTCCCATTAGGACAGAGATCCCAAGACACATGTATTAAATGTGTACTCTAGCATTATGATGTAAGTTGTGATGTTGCCTCTATAACTGGAATATGATCGGTTGTGATGAAGAAAATACACCAGCTTACCTGGTGAGGACAGTAAATTGTATGTACAAGAAAATATGGGGATAAAACCAGGATACACCATGTAGACAGTATTGTATTAGGATACACCATGTAAGCAACTCTTGTTAGCCACAGGTTTCTCATTCAATAGCAGAATGCCTTGATTAAAAATGTGAGCTTCTGTTGGAATGAGGTGTAGTACAGGACTAGGGTTGCACACTTGCAACCTATTGGAGTATTGGTCTGTACTACTCTTTGTAGACGGTGTTGTTTCAATTGCAAAGCATGTCCTTCCTTGTGGGCCAGCTGCCCAGCACTGGGTAAGCTGCTGTAGCAGCATCTCACTGCTATGACTTGGATTTCAGCTGGAGGACACAAATCCAAAATGGTCC